CCCAAAGAACAAAGGAAGTTTATCTTCATTGGAAATGCGACCACCACTGCCCACTGCAGCTCCAGGGTCTGAACTGTCATCGCCAAGATGGGGCAGGGGCATCATGAACAAGACACTGAATCCAAGTGAACAGCGTTGAGACATCAACCCACTGATAGAGAGGCACTGCGCGGGCTACACAGTTCTACCACCAAGAGCTACAAACGCGATCTTGTCTCATTCAATCTGACAAAGGGTTTTCCCCCCTGATTTGAGGATTTACTCATGTGATAATCTTACAAAGGTATACAAATGAAATCACAGACTCGTATTTCATAAATTGCTTTTGTTGAGAAGAATAGAGTGTGATGAACTCAGGGCTGCCGGAAGAATCCAAGGGGCGAGTTGGGTGACGGTGGAGCCCAAAGGGAGGCACTGGACTTCTCTAGTCGGATGCTGACAGTGCCCCCAGGCTTCGGATGTGTAGACGAGCAAACGGAGGCTCTCCTTTGCTTTACTAAACAGACCATTACTGGGAAACAGGACCCTGGCCTGGAAACCAGGACCCTGGAGTCCTAGTCTCATAGGGCAGCTGGTGTGTAGCAAACGCTAGTGGGAAGCAGTCAACTTCCTATTTGCCTCACAAGGCGTTAAAAGATTATGTCTGTAAAATTGTTGGCAAAGCTCCTGTAGTAGATATCACCTTATGCTTGTACAACTTCAACTTCCCCAAGGCACTGCTATACATATTAGGCCTCTGATATGTAGCGATGATGCCTATCTGACAAGTGAGGAAACTGAGGCATGGGGAGGAGTCTGGTCCAACGTCCTACTGCTAGGTATTTTCAGAGATACATCTCCTGACACACACACATACACACACACTCATACTGTGTCCTATGGTTGTTCACTAATTGGCACTTTTTTTTTTTCCATCTCACAAAGGGATTGTTTATTCACTCAACACATATTTATTGAGTACCTACTACGTGCTCTTTTAGGAGCTGAATCCAGAAGGTAAGGTCTCTCCCCTTTGGGAGCTGACATCCTGGAGTTGGAAACATTTCATGACTGAGACCATTTCAGATAGCAGTAAGGGTCATGCAGACAATTAAAGAGTGTGAGGTGATGGAGGGACTCAAGGGCCACTTCAGGAGGTCAGGAAAGGCCACTCTGAGAAAGTGGCATCTTAATGAACAGGAGGGAGACTCGGGAGAGGAGGAGGGGCAGTGGGGTCAGCCACAGAAAGGGAGGTGATGGAGGTCAACAGGTGTTTGGATTCTATCTGAGTGCAGTGGGAAACACACACAAAAATCACAAAAACCAAAAAGAGGAGCAGGAGTGACCTGGTCATGGCAGAGGGGTGAAAGTGAGCATGGAAACCCTCAAGATGCCAGCAGTAAAATACTGGATTAAAAAAATATTTAAAGACACTGCAAGGGCCGGCCCCGTGGCTTAGCGGTTAAGTGCGCGCGCTCTGCTGCTGGCGGCCCGGGTTCGGATCCCAGGCGTGCACCGATGCACCGCTTCTCTGGCCATGCTGAGGCCGCGTCCCACGTACAGCAACTAGAAGGATGTGCAGCTATGACATACAACTATCTACTGGGGCTTTTGGGGAAAAATAATAAATAAATAAAATTATAAAAATAAATAAAGACACTGGGAAGCAGACGGAAAGCAGAAGTTTTAATTAAAAACAAAACAAACGAGAACCCAACTGCAACTGGAAAGGGTAAGCGTTGCCAGTTTGTGGTTTACTGGCCCCAAGGGGCTGCCCAATCCCCACGGCTACGGCTGTGGAAAACAGTGATGGGTGAAACCATGGCTTTACTGGCTCAAGACGCCAGAGCTCAGGTTTTGGGACTGGGGAAGCAGTTGGGAATTTAAAGGGGGGAAATCCTGGCAGTGTGAGACCCTCAGAAGGAGCAGGATACCAACTCTGAGCGTCAGCTGCCTTCCCCAGCGGACAGCTCAACTAGGCACTTGTGGGGGAAACCTGGTGAAGTGTTCACTCTTGAGAGCTCTGCAGGGTGAGCTGTGAGCTGATGCTTCTTTTCCCTGAGGGCATTCCCCACCCACATGCATCTCATGTGGCAAAAACCTGAAGCTGGATGGGGGGAAGGACAGAGCCCAGAGAAGGCAGAGCAGCTGGAAGGTGGGAGAATCCCCATCCTAGCAAGGAAGTCACAGAGAGGATGCGCCCCATCTCTGCCCAAATCCTTGGCCGACCACCAAACTTGACAGGCAGAAGGAAGACCTATGGAATCAGGCCTTAAAAGCAACAGTGGGTAGCTACAGAACAGCTATCAATAACCGCCTACCACAGGAGATACAAAGTCTGCAGTTTGAATCCAGGCATATTAACTGCTTACCAGAATAACTTCAGAAGAACATGACAGAACCCAAAGTCACTACAACATTTTATCTACGATATCCAATTTTCAACCAAAAATTACTAAACATGCAAAGAAACAAGAATATATAATCTATATTCAGGAAAAAGAGCAACCAATAGAAATTCATGCTAACAATGTCGGATTTAGCAACGATTTCAAAGTAGCTATTATAAATACATTGAAAGAATTAAAAAGAAAATATGTTCAAATTGAAGGAAAATATACAATCAATCAATAAATAAGGAATCCCAAAAAAGAAATAAAAACTACCTTAAAATGGAAATTCTATAGCTGAAAACTATAATAACTGAAATAAAAGTTTTGCTATATGGGCTCAAGAGCAGATTGGAGATGGCAGAAAAAAGACTCAGTGAACTTGAAGAGAAATCAATAGAAATTACCTGAGAACAGAGGAAAAAAAGATTGAAGAAAAATGAAGGCACATCATTAGCTTTCAGGGAAATGCAAATTAAAACCATAATGAGACAGTTATAATAAGATAGAATAACACCTATTGGCAAAGATGTGGAGAAACTGGACCATTTATTTGGACACTGCTGGTGGGGATGTAAAATGGGTGCAGCCCCTTTGGAAAACAGTCTGGCAGTTCTTCAAAAGGTTAAACTGAGTTACTATATGACCCTGCACTTCCACTCTTAGGTATATGTCCAAAATTAAAAACATGTCCACACAAAAACTTGTACATGAATGTTTATAGTAGCATTATTCACAGTAGCCAAAAAGTGGAAACAATCTAAATGTCCAGCAACTGAGGAATGGATAAACAAAACGTGGTCTATCCATACAATGGAATATTATTCAGCCATAAAAAAGAATGGGGTACTGACACATGCTACAACATGGATCAACCTTGAAAACGTTATGCTAAGTGAATGAAGCTAGACACAAAAGACCATATATTATGATTCCATTTATGTGAATGTCCAGAAAGGGCAAATCTATAGACAGAAAGTAGGTTAGTGGTTGCTTTCTCCCCCAACCCCTCATCCTGCTGCCTAGAATATGGACATAATGGCTGGATTCCAGCAGCCACATTGGAACACAAGGATGGTTACACACTAGGGATGGCAGAGAGGAAAGCTGGAGTGATCCTTGGTCTCTTAGGATTTCACGGAACTGCCACATCAGCCCTGGACTACCTTCCTCCCAATGTATTTTATATGAAATAAACTATCTTGCATACCTAGTGATATTATATGCAGCCAAATGAATTCTAACAGAGCAACCATGTAAATGAGGGGGAGAGGCTTGGGACAAACAGGGTGGAGGGGCGAGGGGAGCTCACTGAAGCAGCTGGTACCACCCTCGCCAGTTTTATCGGCCGTTCAGGCTCAGCCTAGATCCCACTATAGAGACGTGTCTGCAAGGAGAGAGGGAGCATGCTTGGCTAGTTCTACTCCCAGGAAAGAGGAGAGTGCAAGGACCAGCGCTCACCTGGCACGGGGAAAGATGCTGGAGGCTTCAGTCCCAGCAGGACAGGGTGTGGATTCTCACTGGGCATCACTGCTTTTCCTCTATAGCATGTTCACAAGTCTAACCCTCTCAATACAGCAGAGTGGGTAAGATTTTGGACACAATTTGGAAAGCATATTCCTGAGGGGAAGAGATTGTTTTTTGTTTTGTGTGGTTTTTGGCTTAGGAAGTAAGTTCTTTATTATCAGGAGTAAATGCTAATTATATATTTCACTGCTTCTGACCTAACATCCAAGATCTCTATTTACCCAATGAATGGTGATAGGATGTTCTGGCAGAGCCCCAGGACCAGCCAGAGCTAGAATTACTTGGATCAATATCTACACGTACTGCGCCTGTGATCTGAGCAGCATATAGCATAGCAAAGAACAAAGACTCTAGAAGCAGATTTCCTGATTCCAGGCCAAACTCTTGAAAGTGAGCTGTCTGCCCTCATGCAAGTTACTTTACCTTTGTGTACCTGTTTCTCCTCTGAAAATGGAGTGATAATGATATGTTCCACATGGGGATGCTGAAAAGGCTAAATGAGGTAATCCACAGAAGATACTTAGTAACGACTTAATAAATGTTAGCAATTTTTACTACCATCCCACTCCAGCAGAATTCATAGGCCCAATGCACCAATCTCAAAATCTGAATCCCCAGCCAGTGAATTCTCTCCTCCACTCTGCTACAAAACGAATCATCTCAGCCCCTAAGCGTTTCCTGCCTCATACCAACATGCGGGTGTCTTGTCCAGCTAACAAGACTGCATCCCCCTTGACACAAGGACCAGGTCTAACACTTCCCTAGTGGGTACTCAAATATTTTGCCAAGCATATTTTTCAGCATGATTTTATTCTTAAGCAGTATACATACATTTATAAGTGTACTATGATATACCTTATGTACATGGATTAGGTGGCTGCTAAAGGACAAGTGCCTCCTAGGACATTATCTTCTACAAGAGTCAAGTGTGCAGAAAAACCGGTCAACTTAGGAGACGAAAACTAGACATGGATACAAAGAGTGAACACAGCGTCCTCACCCTCTCCTCCCTCCTGGGTGGTCACCCCAAGAGAGAGATGTTACTCAAGGTCAGACCTTCAGGGTACTGGTTCCTAGATGGGAGGAATGAAGGGGAGAAGGACAGACAGAGGCACCTGGGCAGTGGCTACAGCCTCGCCACATGCCCCGACACCACAGCACCCAGAGTGGAGACGTGCCGGTCAGTGAAGAGGTGACAAACCCCCTGCTGCCACCTGCTCACCGGCGGACTCATCCTCTTGCCTCACAAGAACATCGGAAAGATCCTCGGTTCCTTCCAGCTCTAGATTCTGAAGAAAGATCAAACACACGTGAACTTTGATACTCTGAGAACATCAGATCATAAAACAAATTCTAATCGAGGCAGCAAGGTAGTGACTACAAAGAATCAGGTTTGTCCCATGATTATAAGTAAAATTATGTCACAGCAAATATCATTTGCATGATAAGCTCGTTCCAAATCCTTGCCAATCTCAGGGAAAAAAACAAAAGCAAGCCTTCTCTGGCTCTGGTTCCTACAACGATCTCTCTCTGTAAAAGGCCCGAGAGCTAAGCTGTTTGCCCTGGAAGGAGTAAGAGAAGTGGATGGGGAGGCCACCAGGAGCCACAACACGTCTGTTAACCCTGTCCACATGTGGCCTTCTCCAAGCCCTCCCCCTCCTGCCCCACAATCTCACCCTTGGTGACGTCCATGACAGCTGCTCTCTCCCATCTCCGGATAGCCCTTCCCCTACCTCCCAGTTCTTCCCCCACCCATCTACCCCACGAATTCTCCAATCCCAGGCAATTGTTCCCTCAGACTAAACAACTATCGGAAGCCCTCCTTGCTTAACTTCACCAGCAACCAGGTGTGATTTCTGCAGCTCAGGTTCTAGAAATTGGTTAAGTTTGGCTAATGAGTCACACACGACTAGAACCCAGGGCCATGGAGGCAGAGGGCCCAGCGTCTATCACGGATCCCAAGCCCCGTCACAATGCATATCTGCAGGGGAAAGCTCGTGACCAGAGTGGTTGACGAAGAATACAGACAGGAGTGACACAGGAGAAGGCAGGCCAAAAAGAGGGCCATGTTCTGGTACTAAGCGTTGTGAGATCTCTCTCGGTGCCTTTAAGCTCTGAGTTATCACAGATCTCCAGAGATTGTCAAGGGAACTGTCAGGGCCAATGTTACCAGTCAAATCTCCTTAAATAGCCCAAAGCCAGGCCCCAGTAATGGCCTCAGTGCTCAGCCCCACAGGACATCTGGGGCCATCTCCCTATTCTTCAAATGCTGAGCGCTCTGAGGCCCCTTAAAGAGAGACTCGATTACAGCAAAATGAACAAAGCCGGCCCTGCCGCTGGGGGCAGCGGAGCAGTGCTGGAGCCAGACACTGCCAGCCCCGGTGAAGCCACGGAATCACAACACTCCTCAGCGGTGTTTCCCTGGCTCAGTCTAGTTGGGAACCAACCGACAGCCAGAGAGCTGCTCTCTCCCAGGGGAGAGGCAGGTTTCTGCGGAGACACACAGCCCAGGGCAGCATGCTTCTTGGACTGGCGCAACTGAGTGAAATCTGTAACACTCTGAATTTGGACTCAGGGTAAGTTTCTGAGCTTTGGAGGCACCGTACACTTCAGGAGCCTGTGTGTGCTGGATCACACGCAGCGGGAGAGGCCCCTAGCACCTATGTCCATAAGGATGGTGTGAGATTCCAGCCACCCCTGGAAAAGCTTAGCAGTGACACTTCTGAACGTCAGGTGGATGGCTTGTGTGCCCCCTTCCTCAGATGGGGAACTCTCTTCAGAGCCACTTGTGGATTTGTCAGGATAATGATTTATCTTTTTATTCATTTTTTTCTCTTAGTCATTCTTTCTTCATGTAGTTTGCTTCTGACATCAGATACCTTAGGCTGTCAGAAATCACACGGAGACATTCTCACGACCCTCTCCCATGACCACACACATGCTGCATGCCCCGCGGCCCTGCCGACATGACTTCTGAACAGGACACCTCGTCTCTCCCGTCAGCCTCTACTGCTTACTGCCTTCAACCAGCAGCCGTGTGAGTTCAGCATTCCTGGGCCACAAACATCCTCAATGGCTGATGCATACCGTTCACTTTTGGGAGCTAAGCTGGGTTATTTTGTTCAGGCCTCAGTTGCGAACACCCAGATGGTGGTTCCAGGCCTAACAGTCAGCACCACAGTCGAACACACACAGCACGTTGTCCTGGCTCAGTGGCTCTGCTATACCTGTTCCCCACCCAAAATCAAAACTAGCTTCTGCCAAACGGACAGTTTCTTCTTCTTCAGTGAGGTCATGAGCTTAGAAACTGGCAAGAGAAAAAGTGGTCCCTGATTCCTGGTGGCAGGTCCACTTGGATTGCCTGGCAGCTGTGCTACAGGCCATCCTACAGGGGAACCTCCCTGCTTTGGGCCTGACAGTCAATCCAAGCAAGGCAAAGCCAGACCTGGGAAATGGAGCCAATCATCACCACTCCTCATTTCATTGTGAGGTCAGACACTGGCACACAGGAGAACCTGGGTGCTTCTGCCAGCACCCCCTTTATGCTACCATTCCATTACAATCTTATCAATCCTCTCAAACTATACTTCAAGGTTCAGACAGGTATCACACTCTCATACCCACCCCGCCCCTCCAGGGCAGGGCACCCTCCTAGAGAAGGGTTAGAATCTGCAGTGGTGGTGCCCAGCGGCAGCTATGCATCCCCAGCCCTAGTGAGGCTCATGGCATATGCTACAGCCCAGCCCACGGGCCTCTATAGTAAGTGCCAAAGTCAGTGTTAGGGACCAGCTGCCTGGGGACTCTCAAGGACATCAAGTCTCAACGAGTACCAAATGTACAGGCTTACTGGCCGCCTCACTGGGGTGTCTCCCAGGTGGGATCAACAGGATCCTGAGAAGATGGTCTCTGCCTGTTCCTTCAATAACTGTCCCACAGCCGCTCAGCTCTGTTGGCTGGCCTCACACTATGAGGAGCCTGGCATGTTGTCACAGTTGGCACTTCTGCTGTCACCTTCCTTGTGACAGATATCTATTCCCAAGACTCTCACTGTACTTGGTGACTCCACTTTGCTGGCCACTGCCTCCATATCTTACTACTCTCTCTCCCTGCGTCTGTCTCCCTTTCATCCTCACCTCTGCCCACCCCCTCTTTTCTCCACCACGTTTCCCATGTGTCTTGACTTTGGCACTGGCAGGACCTGGCCTTTAAAGCCCTTGATACCCAATGATGTAAAAGTACTTTATGTTTTCAAGTTGGGAACTGAGAGATCACCATTTTAGCATCTAAAATTTTCCCATTTGGGTCCTCCTCATCATTTTCATTGCTAATCATACCTGACGACCTTTTCCTAAGTTACTTCGAGGTGCCTGGTCGATCCTCTGGGTTGAAGGTATTGCATAAGTCACTGTATTTAAGATATCCTATGAGGTTGCCCATGAAAGATCTAATAAAAAGCTCAAATAGGCTGACACACATAGAGAATACTCTCACGCTTACCAGATTTACCTACCTTTTCATTGGCTAAATGTAGGAGACAGGCAAAGGCCAGAGGTACAGAGAGGTTCTGAGCCATGACGGGAGGCAGGCTGTGAAACAAAGAGCCAAGTATTTAGCTAGGTCACTGCAATTCTGGAAACAAAGGCTCTTTCATCAAGTATGAATACACATGTCCAATGAATATACTAATGAGAAACAAAGAAATATTTCAGATGCATTTTATAAGCAGGTTTTTCTAGTTTCTTATTTGGAAATAAAATATTTCCTATTCCATTCCAGCCACTGGCACAGAGAAAAGCCTTTTTAAAGTTAGTCTATATTAACTCATTTATCAATGCAGACAAGAAAAACTGCTAGAAGTGTTAAAACAGCAGGTGGTGTGTGGAGGGGTCTGTGTGTCACACTGACAGCCAGGCTGGAGCACTCTCAGCTGGGGCCAGGGGAGGGGACGGCGAGCCCTGTGTCTGCTGGCACACACCTCTTCTGCAGGTCCTTGGTGAGCCCGCTGAGCCTCTTCCCATTGGCCACGTCCACCAACTCCCCTGCTTTTCCATTTTCACTGTGGTTTGCCTAACAGAAGGAGGACATTTACATATCAGACATTTGGGGCCAGGTCACTTTGGAGAGAGCAACATAAACCTGCAAAGTTGTATCTCCAGAAAGAAAGGTCTATATCTGAACAAAACCAAAACAATTCCTTAGTTATATTTTGAAGAAAAAGGATCCATAAAGGGACTAAGTGCCTCAGCCCTGGACCCCAACACTGGCATCTACCGAATTATGGTAAACATAGATGTCAATGCCAGTATAATTCCAGCAAAGGAGAAATTGTAAAAACGCTTCTAGGTCCTTCTGAAAACAAAAAAAGAAAAAAATGACAAAATAATAACAAAGAGCCATGATCACTTATAGCTTCACCTGGACTACATAGGCAAGGGCAGTACAGAGTATATATCTAAAAGTAGATTTGAGCTTTCCACTTAAAACACTTACACAAAATAGGGGCTGCCTCCTTGCTAGCAGCCAAGCAGTTATGAAAGTAATTTGAAAGTTATGAAAGGAATTTGAGTAAAATAACTCAGAATGTGTACATGGTGCCAGGGGTGGGGGGTTAGGTGGGGACGACAGGACTGGGTGACACTATAGATAAAACATTGATAATTATTGGAAGTGGGTGTTCCTTATACTATTCTTTGTTCTCCCTACTTTTTTTGTGTGTGTGTGAGGAGATCAGCCCTGTGCTAACATCCGCCAATCCTCCTCTTTTTTTTTTTTTTTTTTTTTTTTTTTGCTGAGGAAGACGGCCCTGGGCTAACATCTGTGCCCATCTTCCTCCACTTTATATGGGACGCCGCCACAGCATGGCTTGCCAAGCAGTGCGTCGGTGCATGCCCAGGATCCGAACCAGCGAACCCTGGGCCGCCGCAGTGAAGCGCGCGCGCACTTAACCGCTTGCGCCACCAGGCCGGACCCTGTTCTCCCTACTTTTGAATATGTTAGAACAGCTTCTTAACAAAAGGTTTTTGTTTTTTTTTAAATAAACCTTTAATTAACCAGACTCCCTGGAGGATAGAGTATTTCGAGTCATTTAAATTCAAAGGTTAGGGGCCAGCCTGGTGGCACCGCAGTTAAGTGCTTGCACTCCGCTTCGGTGGCCCAGGGTTCACAGGTTCAGATCCCCAGCATGCACTGACACACTGCTTGTCGAGCCATGCTGTGGCGGCATCCCATATAAAGTAGAGGAAGATGGGCACGGATGTTAGCCCAGGGCCAGTCTTCCTCAGCAAAAAGAGGAGGATTGGCATCAGATGTTAGCTCAGGGCTAATCTTCCTCACAAAAAAAATAAATAAATAAATCGAAGGTTAAGCAGAACCCCTTTCCTAATTTTTAAAACAAGTACATTTCTCTTACATTTGCATCCCATTCCATTTTAGTTGGATAAAACCTTATGACTATGACTGAAGCTTTATCTGATATCTAAGACTACACAGCTCAGGGCCCTCAATCAAATCATGAATTTTCACTTCTCAGCCAGCAGGAGAAGGTATGAGAGAATGGGTTGAGTTTGGAAAGCTCAGAACATTCCCTGAGCAGAAGAGGTCCGAAAGAGATGGAAGGACTCTAGTTGACTGTGAGTTCCATTTAGTTGGAATAAGTTAATCAAGGTTTCACCTTGCTCTGAAGGAGAAAGAGACAATTTGACAGCATACTAAGTGTTTTTTAATTACTTTCCTACTTAGAATACATTTCCCAAATCAGAATTATTAAAGGACTTAAACATTTTATGGCACATGAGATGTTAGAAATTTCCTATCTAAAAGGGTCATTTATCAACTTAAATTGCACCAACAGTGAATAAGCACTCTAATTTTTTCTTAACTCCATACTGAAAAACAATGTTTAATTGCAAAAGCTGTTATTGTAAAGCAGCATGAAGATGCTTTCATTTGTATTTTTTGGTTACCAGCAGGGCTGAATGATCTTCCAGGCACCAGTTTGCCATCTGTATCACCTTTTGTGTGACCTGCCTGCTCATATACGTGGTTCACTTCTCTTTCAGAGGTGTGATGTCTTCCTTGTGTTTCTGAACGAATGCTTTCTGCCTTAGCACTATTGCTCCTGGAGGGTTGGATGTCAGCCACTCCCTTCCCACACGCTGGGCACCTGGAGAATAAGTGGGACCCGTTACCTCTGCGTCTGCTTGCTTCGAGGAGGCTGCCAACAAACTCCACATGCTCTGCTTCAACTTCTTCATGTCCATCTTTTTGGCAGTCTTGGCGTACTGAATTTCAATTTTATTTACCTGAAATAGGAATGTGACAAAGTAAAAGCAAGCAGAAGAAAGAAACATTTACTATCAACTCAATGTAAAATGAAAGTCTGGACTCAAAGATCATCTAGTTAAAACCAAGGAGTCATAGAGCTTTCTTTGGATATAATAAAATAGAGTCCCTCATTTCAATCTAATTTCTTTTTGATCAAGTGCAATCTACATTAAAGCTAACCTGGGGGCCGGCCCCGTGGCTTAGCGGTTAAGTGCGTGCGCTCCGCTGCCGGCGGCCCGGGTTCGGATCCCGGGTGCGCACCAAGGCACCACTCCTCCAGCCATGCTGAGGCCGTGTCCCACATACAGCAACTAGAAGGATGTGCAGCTATGACAGACAACTATGTACTGGGGCTTTGGGGGAAAAATAAATAAATAAAATCTTTAAAAAAAAAAAAAAAAGCTAACCTGGAATTCCAGTGTAAAAGAGATAAGTGAATCAAATATATATGAAAGCACTAAGCCTGTCACTTGGTATGGAACAGATGGATGTTTAATTCATGATAATTTAATATGAATTGAATCTGGTCAAGATTTTCCACAGCCAAATAGCTAGCCTCACCCAATCAACATAGAAACCCATTTTCTCTACCTACAGCCTTCATTCACATAACTCTACTTGTGTGACTGGCTCACCCCTAGTCATATGTATCATAGTCTCCATGATCTTTGGAGAGATGGCTAGTTCCATACATACCTAATTAGCATCAGCTCATTCCCTACAGCTCTCTGTAAGAATCAGTCACTTGGGGAGCAACGAGTTATAATCGAGAAGAAAAAAAATCAAGCGAAGACCATTGTGACTCATACAGGAGGGAAATTAAACAGATCTTAGGCAAACAATATAAAATATAATTCTTGGCTTCATCTTTACCTTCTGAGGCTCAGCCACCAGATTGGACTCCCCATAAGTGGTGATATCTAATCCTTGGGCTTCAGGCAGGTCACCGTTCTCCTGTGTTGTCTTAGGTGAATGGCAAGGATCAGGTGTAACATCAAGGGTCCCAACTGGTCCCACATATAAGTCATCTGACTCTTCAGAATCACTGTCTGCAGCCTGGGCAAGGAAAGAGCTCTTGAAGTTTGGCAGAAGCTGCCTGAGGGGCTGAGAAATACCTTCAAAACAGACTCTGTCTTCACACAGCAAAAGCAGAGCTCCTGATGAGTCAAGCCCTGGATGGACTTCTAGGTGCCTCTAGTTATCTTCCTGTTGCACATAAACCCTACTAGGAAGGTACGTGTTGACTAAGACCTCTGGAGTGAGAATTAAAAGGAACTCAATAATCACACCTGCCACAGTGTCCGCTTTGCTTCTAATAAATTTAGGATTTCATTTTACAGAAAGCATTCCTGAAACACCAGAGATGTGAACTGTGGGCCAGCTGGCAGCAGGGGTCCTGCTGGGAGCTGGTGAGAAAGTCGTTCTTGGACTGAGCCCAGTGGGAACAGATCAGATCTCTGGGGTGGGGCCCAGGAAGTGGTTTTTTAATAGGCTCTCCAGGTGATTCTTCTGCATGCTAAAAGTTTGAGAAGCACTGGTAAAGGGGTCAGTCTGGATTTTCACTAAAATACAACAACCTAACTCTCCTCCAAGTGAGAAAATAAGGTGACTAAACACTTCTTCCAATTCTTTTCCCTCTCCTCACATACAGGGACACAGACGAGGCCAATATTTTCCCGTCTGTGACCTACATTTGCTATCTTGCTAGCAGATTCACAGAAGGAATATTGAGATTAGTCTAACCAAGAACTAAAGATGGGGAGTAGCTTGCCCAAGTTCACCATGTGAGAACCAAAATCAGAGCTACAAGCTTGGTCTCCTGAGATCCACCCCATTAGCACACACCATCTTCACATGTTTATGTGTTTTGTCTCCCCAGCCAAAAGATTAGCTCCTGAAAGGAGGAAGAGTGTTTCTTTTCCTTTGAAATCCCAAAATAGCAAGATGAGTGTTGTGCACAGGGGATGATGCCCTCCCACGCTGACTGCTTTACCAGAGTATGACCACTTTTTCCTGCACGCAGGGCTCAAAGTGAGGCAGGCCAGGGTGTCGGCTGTTTCCTCAGCTCTGCTCAGTTCCCTGAGGCCTGAGGCAGGGCAGGCAGCCACAAATCCCACGGGATTCAGAAGTTCCTACAGCCTTCCACCATATAGGAAAGGGGGGGGGGGAGTGGAGCAGGAAAGAGACTCGTATGCTTAGAAGAGAGGACAAGGCTCTTCCCTTTTACCTGTAATCCAGGGCAGAAGTTGGAGGTGTCATTCGGGTTGTTGTAATCATAGTCTCCAATTTCCTCATAATGCATGGTCCCTGCCCTCTTGCCTTGGACCATTCTAAGTAACTAGAATGAAAGAAAGAACAACTGCAGAAAGCAATTTCTAGAAAAGCAGCTAGCTACTACAAGAGGTTGGGGAAATAATCTTAGTCCCTATGATCAATGTCCTAGAATTTTAGAGTTCCAAGGGCCCTGAGAAGTCATCTAAGCCAACCAACTTTTCAACTGCACAACTCCATTCTAGAGCAAGCCCAGGGTAGCAGGGCTCAGAGCTGCCATCCATCCCAAATAAACCAGAGCAACTGGTTTGAAACTAGGTCTGCACACAATTTTATTTGAAAAACGGTTCCTTCACTAAAAACAAAACTGCCTATAGCTATCTGAAAAGAAGTCAATTGTTGCTGCTTGAACAATTCTGACAGAAAACTCAATCACTGCTTTCATTCATAAGCAGCCTGCCCACTCCTGAGGCCATCACTTCTCCCTCCTTAGCGACAGGGAGAAACATCCAGCTCTTCTCCCCGTCATTACACCCATGGGCCCTTGTTCCGCCTTCCAGAGCTTCGCAGAACAAGTTTGCCTCCTCTTTTGGGAGTGCCTGTTGACCACAGCCCTTGAGATATTTGCAGGCCCTTAGACCAGTGACTTTTATCTGGGGTATGTATCTTTGGGGTAAAGAAAATGGGGTTAAAGGTGTGTACAATTTACAAAAGCACACTGAATATTTTAATACAACTATATACTCCAAAAGCAGCTGAAAAAAACTCAGTGTTTTTGCAATACGAATCCAAAAATAACATTAAACATGCATATTTATTGAATTAAAAAATGCCCACTTTCTTCCACTGTTCCTCATATGACACAATGTCTAAATCCCTCTCCATTTGGAATACTCTCCTCTGGACACACTCTTAATTGTCCACAGTTTACAAGAAGTGATTCACGAAGGGTACATGCCCCTCATGTGTTGGCTGGTTGCTATTAGAATCACCCTTTAAGATATTAAACTGGATGGGTGGCTGATCTGTATAGTCTCTAGCCAAACAGAGTGTTTAATAACCCAGCATTTACTTTCCAGTGTTCAATAGTCATTTCCCAGTGCAGCTCTGCTGGAAGGATGAGGGATCCCCGGTTCCTGCTGCCTGGCTGCCCTACTACACAGACGGAAATTTATTCCTGTGAATAATCAGAAGCAGAAGTTCTTTCCTCTATAAGAAACAATCATGGGGGGAAAAATTCCCAAAAACCAACTCCTGGAGTGCAATGATCCAATGACTTTGTTCTATCACCTTCACATCTGAAAATGCAAATGACCACTTAGGCCACATTCTTCAAATGCTCATAATAAGGGCTTGAGGGAGGGAAGGGCACCTTGTGGCCACAGAAAACAGCTGGAGGCTGGGCCAGGCTTGGTGCAAGTGTCCTACTATCTTCCTTCAGCTCCCCAGCAGCCTGGCCCTGCTCCTCTGCCTTAGGACCCTATTTTCTCTCTTTTTTTTTTTTTTTTTTTGCGAGGAAGATCAGCCCTGAGCTAACATCCATGCCAATCCTCCTCTTTTTGCTGAGGAAGACCGGCCCTGAGCTAACATCTGTTGCCAGCCCTCCTCTTTTTCCCTTTTCTCCCCAAAGCCCCAGCAGATAGTTGTACGTCGTAGTTGCACATCCTGCTAGTTGCTGTATGTGGGACGCCGCCTCAGCATGGCCCGACAAGCGGTGCATCAGTGCACGCCCAGGATCCGAACCTGGGCTGCCAGTAGCCAAGCGCGCACACTTAACCGCTAAGCCACGGGGCCGGCCCCAGGACTCTATTTTCCGATTAGAGCAAGCTGCTGCTGGCATCTAACCAATCCTGACCGTAGCCATAGTTGCTACTACTGCTGCAATTTTGCATCTTTCTGCATTTCCTTTTTTTATTGACGAAAATTGACACATAACATTATATTAGTTCTTTCTACATTTGTAAGAGTATTTCTGTTAAATGAATAGTATTGATTAGAAAGAAAATTATATCAAGGTTGGTTTATAAAAACAGAATGTGAGATATCAGTGACTTCAGGGAACTGTATACATATCATTAAGACCTTGTAGAGAAACAGGGAAAATGAGGAAGAGGAAACTGTAAGCTGTCTGTATACCTGACACCACAAGATGAAAACCAGGAATGCAAATGAGCAGAGGGTTCAGATACAACAGAACTTAGCATGAACCGCTGCCTGGTTACCTGGCAGCAGGACGTGCACTTGCTACTAGCACCAGCAGAAGAGCCACAGGCAAATGAAGTGAACAGTGACCGGCGTGCAGCACCAGGCAGTCTGGAGCGCTCGTGCCAATAGGCATAAACGGAGCCCGGGCAGGTCGTGCAGCACGAGGGAACTCCTTGAGGACTGCAGTCAGATGCCTGGCACCTACTTTACCCCTATGTGTCACAGTGGGCGTGAGTCTACACCTTGACTGTGGGGGAGGCAATGTGGGCTAGGGAAGGCATCTGGCTAGTCAATCTACAACTTCAATGAGAAAGTGCGAGAATCCAGAAATAACTAACATCCTGTAAAAACCTCAACAAAAGATTTTATGTTTATCCCCCTAGCATTTCAGCATGTAGGCCTCGGTGTCCATCCAGCATCCTAACCAGGTGAGGTATTTCCAAAACTTTGGGTGCATCTATCCTATAAGCTTTTCCTTTCAGATTGCCTTACCCATTTGATCTCCTGGTAACTCCCCCTGGCTAACACACATTCCTCCTCATGCTCTCTCCTCTTCCTCGAAGGCACTGTCTGACAGTCACACTACCAGCCACCTGATACCTCCAATGCTATAAACGGGTTCGACAACAGTGGCCTCAGGGAACCAAGGAACAGCCTTACCCTGGTGCCTGGTTTGAGATGCAGCTGGACAAGATTATCAGTCTCATAGTGGAAATCCATAGGAAGAGTGGTGGCTCTCCAACTCTGGTTCTCCAAAGTGGACTTGGACAGAATAGTAGCAGCCTATTAATTAAAAAAAAAAAAAAAAAAAGTGGTTTTTAGGCATCTTTAATAAAAATGGTCAAAACATTTTCTTTTTGGAAGGAGCTTGGGAAGGGTTTGGGCAGCATTAGTCTATCATCAGAGTTTCCAGTTCTGTGTAAAAGAGTAATTTTGCTAGACATTTTTCATATTCTAAACTTGATTCTCTGCCACTGAGTTTGGGACTATTTCTCAATTCCTCTAGGGACTGAAGGAGAATGAAGAGTTTTTACTCTAAGAGTTAAATTTATAATGAATTTTTGTGTGTGTGTGAGGAAGATTAGCCCTGAGCTAACATCCGTTGCTAATCCTCCCCTTATTGCTGAGGAAGATTGGCCCTGGGCTAAAATCCATACCCATCTTCCTCTACTTTATATGGGACGCCACCACAGCAAGGCTTGACAAGCAGTGCATCAGTCCGCACCCGGGATCCGAACCTGCGAACCCCGGGCTGCTGAAGCGGAGTGCGTGAACCTAACCGCTATGCCACCAGGCCGGCGCCTAAAATGAATTTTTAAAAATCACATCTAAAATGGAAAGAGGAGTGCAAAGAATAATTTAAGAAAGCATAAATGATAAATCCAGCACAAGTATAATAAATTGAGCACAAACCTTTGTTTTCTGAAAATATACATCAAAGTCAATATCGTCGTCAAAGTCGATTTCAAAATCTTTCTTGGTATTCTTCTTTCTGTTCTCTACTTGTGAGGCAGCGTCTTCTGCAGAAATGGACACAGACATCAACACTGTCCACCTCTGCGGCCTACATTATCATCTCCCAAGATCTACTGACAGCCTTGTCAACTGCAAGATAGCATTCATGTCTGAGCATCAAAACAGCATCAGGAAAGGCAAATCACACACCTAATTTTCATCCTTTACTTATAATTTGTGTTTTTGCTAACAAAACACAATAAAGCGATACGCTAGTTAATCCCTTCTTTTCAAAGACAGAATGCAAAATATATAATGCTGGCACAGCCCTTCCGAGTTCTGCAGAGTGCTGCCTTGTACAATAACTCATGTGGGCCCCCTGAGCCCGCCAGTCATTCCCGCCTACAGCCATTGTTTGAAGTCATGTGGATACGGGGTGGGGGGGGGGGGAGTACAAAGTCATGAGCCAGCTCTCCTGACTCCAGGTACTCACTCTTCCCACTCAGAGGCCTCAACCTTAACTGATCCCTCATCCTAGGCCGGGCCAACTGACTGTCCAACCAGGAGGCTGGCTTATCTGTATGCTTCCTCAGCTTATCAGGAAGTACAGCAGAACAACAACGGGCCTTTCCCTTCGTCAGCTGAACTGCTGACTAGCTGGTCAGCTACACTATCTCTTTTCTTAAAGTTCCATCTAGAAGTACATACGTTTATGTCGGGGTCTAAAGCGCCAGTGATCCGGGCCAGCCCACAATGACATGGTACGGGGACTAAAATAAGAATATTCTCCAGGTCTCATGGATAGAAGAGGGCACATGGTCCTAATGTCTCCATCCCCAAGGGGAATCATTTCTTCCCTGTAAGGCACGTGAAATCATGTTTTTACATGTACAGTCATGTCCGTATTGATATATACAATAGTATATTTACATGTAAAGCAGCATATGATGCACTTGAAGGCTCTACCTACCTACCTTTCCACAAATGAGCAACAGTTCTAAGACTAAGTCCAATATAAATACTTCATCACTAATAATTCCTTAGTCTTTACTTCAAAGTGCTTTTACTTCTCTTCATTTTATAACAATATGATCATACCTATACAAATACTTTGGATGTTTCAAAGGGCTTTATAAAATGCAAGTTTACCCACTTGAGAGACAAGAAAACAGAGGCAGAAAGAAATTCAGTTTTTACTTAAGACTATCCAGCTAGTAAAATGCCAGAGCTGGGAGCTGGACACAGTTCCCTGAATCCCAGCCTCAGGATCCTTCCACACACAGGCTTCCTGCCACACAGGATGAGTCTCTCCTTCTTCACCGTCCTTCCGTAAATGAGGGCTCCAATAGCACTGCTGTGGTTCCTACTAAGTGAAAAAGATGCTATTCTAATTTATGTCCCCTAAATGGTGGGGGCCCCTCCTACTCTATCTGCTAAGCCACCTAGCTTTAGTCTTTGCTGCATGAGAGGTGTCCAACTGGCCGGTCCAGCGTGGTGGTTTGGGTTTGGTTTTTCACTCTTTCTGCAGGGTACTAGAACGTGGGGGAGCTTTCTCCTTGAGGCCTCTGACCCATCAGAAAGTACATTAGTGCTGCTACACTGCCCTCTAAAGGGAAAGGCAACAAGGAAATTTCAGACAGTGAGGGGCTTTTACCTGTATCAAGCCATATACATCAATTCTCTTTATATAAAGCCTTACAGAACAAGCTAAAAAAGCTTTAAAAGGGGACTTTGCCTTTATCTACAGAATGTTTTTTTGAAAACCAGGAAGCTGTATTTGTATTTCTATTGTGTAACTAAAACAATTTTAAAAATTAAAAAATTCATATTTATAGTCTATAGAATGCCTAGCCTATGTTATTAGGTAACAACTGTATGCATTGTAAACTCCAGAGGGAGAAAGAAGATGGCTTCAGCAGCAGCCCCACTCAACTCTCACGGATATTCTTCTGTTAAAGTTTTGGCAGTCGGGCTGGGAATTTATTGGGAACTTATGGGCAAAGCTATCAAGTGCTTGGCTCCCAACCCCTGCAAGTCAGTGGGCCAGGGCTGGACTGAGGGCCTTAAGGCTTGAACTCTAGCCATTTAATAATTCTCTCAGTACACAAAGCTGCGCGGCAGGCACCCTACTGGTCCCGACTCCCCCACCCAACAATTCACCCATTCCCCCCACTTTTCAAGGCCTGCTCCTCCATCAAACTTCTCTAACCCCCTCTGGAGGAACTCTATTTCTTCTATCTGCTCTCCCCCCATCCCCAACCACAGGACCCCTCCTTCAATTTAGCATTAGTTGCACTAATACCTGCAGGTCAAAGGTCTCCTCCCGCCTGGCTCCTAGCATGTCACCTAGCACAGCAGAACGCCTCATTCTTGCATGCATGGAGCAGGCTGTGGTCTGGGCTGCGGTCTTGAACCATAGCGAGCATCTTACAAAAGCATGCCTGCACCGCAGAGAGACCAGCTAGAGAACACGGGGCCCACGGCTGTAGGATGGAGGAGTGCACCCGGGCTGCTCTTGGACGTAAAGCACTTTCTCAGACGAGTCCTTCTTAATGCAGAATGTGCACAGTTGTCAAAGTGTTGCCATCCAGAGACCAATAACACGGGGCATCCTGCATTAACACTGGATTTATAATTTGGCTTAGCCCCCACCCCACCTTGAGCTAGAGAAGCCCTTAAAGGCCTTCCAGTACAATACAGTGTTTTCAACCCTGGGGGCACAGTACAATCACCCAGGGACATTTGGGTAAATAGTGATGCAAAGCCCGGCCTCAGAGACACTTAGTTAAGTGCTCTGGGGTGGAGCCTGCCATCCAACGCTCATTGTGTGCAGCCATGATTGTTCAAAGGTGCTGGGCGAGTCCCAGCTCCACTCTATTGCTTAACCTCTCTGAGCCTGTTTTCTCATCTGTAAAGTGGGGATAACAGGACCTAATTATAGAGTTCTTGCAAGGATTAAGTGATTACGTTTTATATATTATATAAATTACGTGAAATAATGCAGGCAAGGCACTGGCATAGTGTCTGGCACAAAGCCAGAATAAAGAGCTCAATAAATATCAGATAGTATTATTATCATCTAGTCTCAACCCTTCATTTTATGGATGAGAAAACAAAGACCCCAAAAGGTGATGCCACTTGCCCCCCATCACACAGCTATCCATGGCAGAGTCAAGTCTGTTCAGTTTAAACACTTCCTGAGCTCTTGGGAGGGGGCCAGCGCCATACCAAGGGTAGGGGATTTCAAGACAAAGCCTTAGACTGGAACCTAAGCCCCTGCCCTTAATGCACTCAGTAGGATGGATTCCAAGATTTTGTTCCGTTTGAAACTTGGGAGAGAAATGGAGAGCTTTGTGCAAAATTTGCTCAAAATAACCATCTCTAGTTAACCATCTCCAGTTTGCTCAAAATAACAAAATGAAAGTGACTAAAGCCCTTCGCTACTGTCAGTTCCTCAGATGTCACCTCAATCTTTAGGAAAAGCGACAGCTCCTTGACATTTGAAAATGATATCAAAAGAGCGCATCCCATCAACCTGCTTACCATTCCTCACTTCTTAGAAGATGGGATGGGAGCAGGGACAAAATCGCAGGTACACCAACAGTACAAACCAGAGAGGAAGGAGCCAACGGGCACAGATGGGTAATTTTACCTTGAGGTGCCAAACATTCAGCCCCTCGACCTCTACTTGGATTTGAAGAGACATTATCAATCTGATCCTTTTCCACCTGAGCAGACAAACTGAGCTCAAGAAAGCAATCTCTTTTATCCTGGAGACATTCAAGCATGCTCTTGAAGGGATTTTTGCCTCAGTGGGAAATTACAGAACAACTCCTAAAGTTTTACCCATACTAAACCAGCTCACCTGTCCCCAGTCCCGGGCTTGCAAAGATGCTGCTATAGGCCCAGGAGTCATCAGAGGGTCTGCTCGTTCTAGTCTAGCGGAATCTGCTACACCCAGGCCCATTCAAGACCTTTAGAGTCCCTCAGCTCTCCAGGATTGTGGGAGCCTGCTTCCAAATCATATTCAAAATTAAAACAATACTAATCTATTATTTTATATAATCTATAATAAAAGCCAACAAAGTTCTGATTTTATTATGACACTTACTAGAGTAATCAAAAAGTTAAATCACTACAGACCAATTCTCCCACCTCCCCTCCCACTCAATCTGCTCAATTTTATTTGCGTCATTCATTTTCACTGCTCTGCTGGTGCCCAGTCTTCCTTTCTGGTAACCCAGCACTGCCCAGCCCCCTCTCTGCCTGATCCTTCAGGTAGGGGCCCCTTTTTTTATGTAAGCAATGCACAAGCCTACTTCTGTGTATAACCGATATAGAGTGATGTAGCCAAAAGCCAGACTACGTATAGAGTGTAGAGAGGGAGCATGCTCCACGCTACTAAAATGCAAGTGGTAACAAAAGCCACCACTGAAGTAGCTACTATATCCCTGGTACTTTTTTCCAGCACTTTACATATTTTAGTTCTACCTAAACTCCCTCTATGTCAATTTTATAACCACTAACTGGCTGAGCAGACATTCAAAGGCAGGTGTGATTCCACCATGAGTCAGAATGGCTCAGCCGGTGTGGACAACATGGCCCACCAGCCCGGCCAATCAGAGAGATGAAATTAGATGATTCCAGCAGGGACTCTGTTAAGGACTATGGAAAACTCCTATGGGAACAATTCACATAGCCCTGACAGCCTTACTGGCAGCTTTGAATGTGGCAGGGCTCCTCTGAGCTCCCGACTTCTGCAGGATCCCCAGCTGTGGTGTGGTCGGGTTCATCGTTGGCATCAAAGTCGTCCTCCAGGGGCCCCTTCAGGGAGTCCCCGCAGTCACTCTCCTCTGCCTTGGCATTGATGTCGAATACCTCATCATTCTTCTTAAACTTGTCTACCAGGGCCGACACCGACTGGAGGGGACAAAGAGAGCTTCTCTAGTACTCCTTGTTCCCATAACCACCCCAGTCACCGCTGGAGGAACGGCCTCCCTGGATGTGCCTTCTCCCCTCCCCAGCCCCCAGAGCCAGTGTTCTCACGACAGTAAAGCGCTGAGGAAGTTTATATTGTGTGGCACAGGATGAAGCTGTATTGTCATTAGGCACATTTTGTAAAACATGAAACAGGAATCTGCATCCATTAACTACATGTTTAGAGAAAACAGTTTTCCATGGAGACCGTTTATTTTGGAAGTGGTAGTAAGCAGGCTAAAGGGGGCCATGCTAAAAATACACAGAGGAAAGCTCTACACATGACAATTTCTCAGGAAGCTCTGTGCCAAGGGACTCAACCCCAAAGAGCAGGAAATTCCTCGAGCTTGACAGCAGCCTACGAGACCAGAGGCCACTGGGATAACCACATCCAAGAGTAAATCTGATAAAAACTGTGCACCCAGAATGGCAGGGTTGCCTCACCCTAGGGAAGCAGAGAAGAGAGGACATGAAACTGATCCCAGGATCATGCAGCTGTCTAATGCTCCTGCTGGAGTTCACAATCCCATCCCTACCCGCTAGGTTTTAGTCCCCACACAAGTGCCAAAGGAAATATTTTCTGTACTCCTGGCTAAATAATGCCAGTTTTGGTTCCCATTGAGCAGAAATTATCTTGGGCCATCTCACTGAAACCACGAGCTGTTGGAGAAACGCCCAGAGCCCTTAGAAGTCCAGAAGTTGACCACACCTCATTATGTGTTTCACTGTCCCAACTGGTGAACTGGAAGCCCGCCAGGGAAGGGCAGATCTGGCGATTTTCCGCACACTGCTTCAGGGGCCCTGGAGACGACAGGAAGGTTGCAAAGAGGGATCAGAGGCAGATAGAGCACACTCCTTACACCCTCAGAGTGACCAGAGCAGCACCACGGAGAAGAGAGGCACAGCCCCCTCTCGTTCTCTGGCAGGCAATCTCTGTGTCACACGGACTGATGTCCAAGGAGAGGGCAGAGGCTCAGGCACACAACCACACTGGAGGTGGGTTCCACACTCGCGTTCCAAGATGTAGTAAACGCTGGGTAGAAACCCGAAGCACAGACACTTGACTCTGAAATGGACTCCGTGCCCTACTCGGGAAATCAAAAACTCTCCCTTAAAGTGTACTAAGTGCACAACCAATCATGCAATGTTACTTACTTTAGTCCCAAACTAAATTAGCCACAGATTACCTACCTCAAACGATTAGAGCCCCAGTTGAGAGCATAAATTTGGAAAATAGGTTGTTAGCACAAAACCGTTATATTTAGCAAAATTTACACAAGAATAGAATGGATGAGAATGGGCACCGTAACATCTGTGTGTGTTACTGGAGGAGGAGGATCAAGTTCATGCAACATACAAAAATGATTACACACCAGTACAGCTATGGTATTCCCCCACCTGTGCCTGTCACAACATTCTCAGATGGTCCCCCCAGAGGGCGGAGTGGAGGGGTAGGATGGGAGGAAGGTTAAAATCCTTGCCAACACAGTATAAACGGCTGACAACAGGACAGGGCTGTTCTCAGACCACCACAGAGGAGTCTAAAACAATTCACAATACCCTCTTCTCCTCAGGACCCCCTAGATTGGTAACAAATAAGAACAAGGCTTCTCTGGCTCAACAAAAGTCTCTTAGAGTCCCTTTCCCAAGTCCAAACTCTGATACTGCAGGGTTAGCCCAGGGCTTCAATACGTGACTAAGGACCAGCCTCTAACGGGGCACCTGCAGGGTGTGGCACGTACACACCAAGAGCAATGGTGAGCATTAGCTACTACTGTCTTAGACTCCGCAGAAAGGAAGGAAAGCTAGTTTGTCCCAAAAGGATGCCCAATTTGGCGTTCCAGAAGAACCTTCTGAGTAATTGAAATAAGCAATATAAGAGCATGATGGGCTTACCGCATCCCATGGTTTTATAGAAACTTTTCTGATGGCTAAAATGCTCTGGTGAAAGGTATTATGTGTACTTACCTTTTAAATCCGTCATGTCCACCCAGCCTAAATCTGGGAACTCAGGAGGTGCTTCAGTGGAAAGAGCCTGGGCATCGGAAGGAAAAAGCAGCTCACTCCTGTAGTCGTGGCAGTGGAGGGTGGAGAGAAACACGCCTGCTGTGCTGCACTCATCGAATGAGGCTATAGTCCTCTGAAACATGGGATCAATCTGAGCACAAAAACAGAGAGTGACCGAAAAATTACAGGATGCAACCAAAGGAAATATGAAAGCTCATTCACTGGACCCTGCTCATTCACAGCTGCATATACTGGATTGAAACGTCTCTGTGCAAGATCAAGAGTGGAGGGGCTTTCTAACTGATCAGGTGAACTCCCATCCCAACAGACACCAATTCAAAAGAAAGGCTGCACATGCTCAGATGAATAATTGTACATCCTTAAATACACAGTAAACGGTAACAAACTTATACTGTGTCAATTTGTTTGTTTACAGTATACCTGGACACGGATCCTTCTGTTGGTCTCTTTCCACAAGCCACTGTCTGTAAACGGCTATCTCTAGAGGAACGCCATCACAACCAATTCTGCTGATTTAAAAAGCCTGTGTGATAGATCTGTTCACAAGACCCCATTAGTCCTCTGAACAGAAACATTCAAAGATTTGGAAGAACACAACCAAGAGACCCAGGAAAGGACAGGCAGAGCCAGCAGGGCTAGATGACTGGGTAAAACAGGGAAGAGGCTGTAGGAAGGCCCCCAAGACTGGGTCAAGGAACGGGAGTGGAGCAGCCATGTGACACCAACCGAAAAGGCAGAAAAGGACACAGGGCATAAGAACAAGGACAGGGCAGGCACATGCACATGTGGCAAGAGGGCAAAAGCTACCTGGGACTCTACAGGTGGCCCTGCGACAGGAAATAGGTTGGGTACTGGGTTCACAGGTCTTCCTGATGTCTCAAGATGTGGCTACTATGAAGAGAGGGGGCCTTGGATATGACAACAGAAGTGGCACTCTGGCTTTCCTGGCCCCCTTATCTCTGAGCCTGACCCCACCAGAAGTGAGATTCTCCTCTCACCTTCCCAATAAGCCCATCTCATCATCTTCCTAGTCCCAGAGGAGCACATGTCACCTCCACACTCTCCCTGTCTCCTTACCCCTCATCCAGTCAGTTACACAGGCTTGGTGGGTTTTCCTCCTGGTGCGTCTCCACCATCTATCCCTCCCTTCCTACCCCCACTGCCACCAATACAACTCTCACCTGAGTTAACCCTTGTCTCTGGTCTCTCTCATGTCCTATCCTAAAAATACCAGTGTTGTTACTCCCATTCCCTTCCTCAAATGCTAACCAGAGCAATGGTTTCCCATCTGGAGCCCCACTCCCTAGAGGTCTTGTGCGAGTAGTTAATGAAACTCAGCCTTTCAAAGAGTCAACACAGAAACTGTACATTGACTCACATTAAAGCTGAAAACACTAACATAACTTTCTTCACTTTTGTCTAGAATTATATCATGCCAGTGTGAGAACAATGGTTCTTTCATGTAAATTAGATCTGACTGACATCTTTGCAAGTAATTTGATGGGAAATGAATTATTGCTGACTGCATAGTCTGGGTAGATGAACCTTTTGAAACAAGGGTCCACAGCAAGGAAGAGAAACAGTAAAAGGCGGCCTTGGCAGACAACAGACTGCAGGATAAAGTCCAGGGTCATTTCAGCCTATGAGTGAATCCTCCACTCTAGCCAAACTTGTCACTGTCCAGCTCCCTAAAGAACTAGCACCTTCCTGTTTCGTGGCCTTTGCTTATGCCTCTGCCTAGAATCACCTTCCTGGCAATGTCCACCTGACAAACACCTACCCTTCCCTTTAAGGCCCAGTTCAAACTTCACCTCTTCGATAAAACTCTGACCTCCACCCTCTCTGATCTCCTATAGACTGTGCCTTGAACTTCCTTGCATTGTATCCATCTGTGCTCTCATGGTATAAGGAACTGGAGCATAATCAGGTTGGAATATCCCAGGACAGCAAGCATTTTGCACAATCAAGAGCTGTGTCCAAAACAGATCAGCTCATACACAAACAAGTGTTCTCCACTCGTCTACACACATCCACAGAACATCTGCTTTCTAATCTCCACGCCATTTCCAAGAGAATGCAAGTTCATAAACAGCTGAAACTTCACATTTTAAGTTTGTGACAATACCTCCCCTTTTAATCTTCCGTACTTTTGGCTATTACAAGTTTACGGCAGATTACAGAGCAAAAAAAAGCTTTACAGAACTGGGATACTTGGTGTTTCTTCAAGATTCTTTTGATTTTACTTGGCATAAATATACCACGGTTTGACAACCGCAGGTTTAGAGGGAGCAGTGTTGCGTACTCTCGTTTTCTCTTTCTAACAATGGGAGAGGCTAGTGCAAGCCTCCTAAGCTCCCCAGAATTAGGTCTACCTGGTAACAAAAAGGATGGTTGGAAAACAGAATTTCTAACCATATTGTTAAATCGAACATTTCACTGTAGAACCAGAAGCAAAAACAAGAATGATAGTGAAATAAATATTCAGATTATCTGAGAAGAGGAAAAAGACAAGAATCGGGGAAGGGAAGGTGGGGGAGGATTTCATGGCTCCCCTTTAGATGTGTACAACATACGCCACGGATAAAGCACTTCGCCAGAACTGATGCACTAACACAAATCCTGTACGTAGGTGGGACCAGTGTTACCTGTTTTTACAGTTTAACAGAGTGAGATTTAGAGCCTTTCCCCAGGTCACAGAGCTAAGAGAGTGGAACCAGGATCTGAACTTTACATCATTCGCCTCCAAATCTGGCACTACCCTGGGTCAGTGCCGACACACAGATAAAGGAAAAGAGCACAATTCCCTTCCCCAAAGTGCCTGCTACCCTTGCCTCTCCCCTCCCTCTTCGGTTTCGGCCTCAGTGGTTCCACCTTCCTCGGGCCCTTCCCTGCCCATCCACACACAGTCCTCACCCCACCACAGGCTGGAGCCACCAGGCAGCCCAGAGTAGAACTGCTCCATCCCTCAGAGGGCACTTAGCAAGGCCCCTCACCCCAGCCCCCGAGACCCTGTGTGCTCAGCTTCACCACTACCATCTGCGTGAGACCACTAGGACTAATCTCATCATTGCCCTTTATTTCCTTTATTTATTAGTCACACATACAAGACCCAAGACCCCCAGGATTCTACATTTCCCAGGATCTAAAACCTATACGGCTCTGACATCCCCTCTTTAGTCCTCATCTCCTCCTTCTAACTGATATTTTCCCCCAGGGCCCTTCTACACTCAGTCAGTCATCAGCAAAATTCCCTATATTCCCTACTTCTTTCTTCAAGGTTCTCTCCATCTACTTGCTCTAACTCATCCATTCTCAGTGGGGGCCATATCACTCTCAAGGGGGTGAAAACTGATTCTTGGGAGAGGGTGAAAAAAACCTTAGAAATTACAATAATTTGTGGTTCTCCGACCCTGAACCCTATCTCACAAAATCTTATTCCTTAATAATTTCAAGAGGGAGGGGTAGGAACAAAATATCCAAAAAGGCTCTGAAGGGGGGAAATAATGACAAAGGCTGAGAAGCACTGCTCTAATGAAACTCAGTGCCCGCCCAACGATGCTGCTTCTTCTCCCACAGCCCTCAAACCACTGGCCGAGAGGTGCAATGGGTGATTTCCTTGCTGCTCATTATAGCTTCCAGACTATTCTCCTTCCCAATTCCTAAAACCCTCAGCTTTGAAGGTCACATCAGACTTTACCACCCTCTGCCCATCTGTGTTGCGATCATCTTCCTATCCCCAGGTCTAGCCCCTTCTTGGAAGATTTTACTATTAGCTCTTGGCTCATTCCTATTCTCCAACTTCACTGCTGTGGTAGTTTTTGGTGATTTCAATATCCATATATTGATCCAGCCAACACTCTGGCCTCTCAGCTCCTTGATACCCTCTCCTTCAATGGTCTTGGACTTCATCCTAAGGACCCCAGGCCTCGGAGACATCCTACCGTGATCCCCATACCGCCCTGCTCCCTTACCTGTTCCCTGAATGAAATCAGGAACCATGACTGTAACCTCTCCACGTGCTCAATTCCAGTGCCCCTCTCTGATGCCCAACTCCTCTCTCTCCAGCACTAAGAAGTCTTGGACCCCACCAGGCCCTGCAATCCACTGTCCCTCACTCCCCTCTTTTCTCAGCTAAAATTCCATAAGCAATGACTATAACCACTCCCTTGCACATGCTCTTAACACCAGTGCCCTTTCCAGCGGTGTTACATTCACTCAGCTAAACACATCCTCTGTTAAATCCAGCTTTCTGCCTACCCCATGCCTGCACTCAGCTAACCACGGCTGGAGAAAGACACAAAGTCATGCTGACTGACCTCACTTCAAATCCATCTGCCGCTGCCCTCAAGTAGATCCTAAGTGTCGTCTGGCAAACAAACTGTATTTCCCTTGTCCATGCACTCACCCACCACCCTAACTGACTCTTTCCCATATTTTTCTCTCCTCAAACCTCTAACACTTTCCTCCTCCATAACTCACTGTCAGTTGATGATCTGGCTTCCTATTCCATTGGGGGAAAAAAGACACAACCAGAGGAGAATACCCAGAATGCTCCCACACACGCACACTCAAACCCCATCTCCCATCAGCCATGGGTGCTCCTCAGCCGAGCCCCAACTATGCTGTCTGTTCCTTTCTCTTCTGACATGCTCAAGGACCCCACTCCAGCATGTCTCCTCTCTTTTCTGCATCCTCAATAGTTCCTTCTCCACTAGATTGCTGCCATCGACAAGTAAACATGCCGTTCATACTCCCATTAAAACAAAGCAAACAACCTCTAGACCTTACTTTCCCCTCTACTTGCTACCCCATTACTCTGTTCCAATTTATAGCAAAACTCCTCAAAAGAAGAGCTTATACTCAGTGTCTTCATTCCACTTGTTTTCCCCCCATTATGAAAAATTTCAAGCCTACAAGAATGTTGAAACAGTAATATGAACCTCTGTGTAACTTTTACCTAGATTCCCCAAAGGGTAACACTTTTCATATTTGCTTTCTCTCCCCACCCCACCCCCCAACAGAACCTTTTTAAAAGTAGATATTGGGCCGGCCCTGTGGCTTAGTGGTTAAGTGCGCACGCTCCACTACTGGCGGCCCCGGGTTCAGATCCCAGGCGCGCACCAACACACCGCTTCTCCGGCCATGCTGAGGCCGTGTCCCACATAGAGCAACTAGAAGGGTGTGCAGCTATGACATACAACTATCTACTGGGGCTTTGGGGGAAAAAAGGGGGAGTATTGGCAATAGATGTTAGCTCAGAGCCAGTCTTCCTCAGCAAAAAGAGGAGGATTAGCATGGATGTTAGCTCAGGGCTGATCTTCCTCACCAAAAAAAACAAAAACAAAAACAAAATAAAAGTAGATATTACAACACTTTACCTCTCTGCTAGTTATTAAGCTATTACCTCTCAGCTCCAAACCCACCTTCCATCCTCTGCTCTGTGCTGCTGGGTCTGGGACTGTTCAGCTTTGCCAGCAGCTCCCTGTTGGGCTCCACCAATAGGGGGCACTAGAGGGAGACTGCAGGGCTAGAAAAATGAGCAAGGACTTGCTTCTTGTAGGCTTCCTGTTCCTTTGTCACCCAGCTGTGCTTCTTCTCCCCAGATGCAGTGGGTCCTATCTGTCCCAGTAGCTGAATTCAATTTGCACTTTTTCTCACAGTCACAGAACCAGCCTCACTGTGTGCCCCTCAGAGACACCAGCATCAACCAGCATGCCCTCCTCAGAGGTCTGGGTCCTCTCCTCCTGACTCAGGGACACCAGCACCAGCCAAGTGGCAGCCCTTCCTTGGAGGTATGAGTTTCAGCTCCACAGGGCCCCTCCACCAAGCTCACCAGTGGCCTCAGTTTGCCACATTTGACATGGTTGATCACTCCCTCCTCCCTGAAACTTTCTATTTGAATACCACACTCTCCTGGTTTTCCTCCTACCTACTGGATGTTTCTTCTTCAGCTCTCTGAACTCTTTAAGATTGGGGTACTCCAGGGCTCAGTCCTTTTTTTACATATGATCATTCCCTTGGTGGTCAATTCTAGTCTCGTGACCTTAAGTACCATTTACGAATGTTGTGGAGGTAAAAGAAGTAATTTAGGGGCCAGCCCAGTGGCGCAAGCGGTTAAGTGCGCACGTTCTGCTGCGGCGGCCTGGGGTTCGCCGGTTCGGATCCCGGGTGCACACTGACACACCGCTTGTTAAGCCATGCTGTGGCAGCGTCCCATATAAAGTGGAGGAAGATGGGCAGGGATGTTAGCCCAGGGCCAGTCTTCCTCAGCAAAAAAGAGGAGGATTGGCATTGGATGTTAGCTCAGGGCTGGTCCTCCTCACAAAAAAAAAAAAAAAAAAAGAAGTAATCTAGTTCATTGTTGGTGGGAGAGTAAATTGGTACAACCTTTTTTTGAGGGGAATGGAAATTCCATGTCTCAGAATTTTCTTATAGATACACTCCCAGAAGAGTACAAAGATAATATATACAAGAACGTTCATGAGATAGTGTTTTTAACAGCAAAATTTTTAAAAATTTTGTAGTGACACCTGTTTGCTTTAAATTAATTGTGCTAATTACAAATGAGGCCTCTGGTACCATTTCTTTCAGCAGATTCTTTAGGATTTGCCAGATGGTAAGGCTGTTAAGATGAAGGACCCTGGAGCCAGACCACTTAGCTTCAAATCCTAGCTTACTTACTAGTTGTATCATCTTGGGCAAGTTAATTAACAGCCCTGCACCTCAATTTCCTCTTCATAAAATGTCACAAGGATGTTGTGAGGATTAATGAGTCAACATAGGTCACAGGCTTAGGGCAGCAGAGCGTGCCCAGTAAGTACACAGTAAATGTTAGCTAGCATCGTCACGGCTGCAAGTACTAGGAAAGAAAATAAATGTTTTAATCAATCAGATTTCTCAGTAATTTACCATCTCTTGCTACTCAATCATTCTGAAATACTGAAGGAAAAACAGGGACTTACCCCTTCAGCCCTCACTATCAAGCTAAAGGATGATAATGCAGATACCAGTTGAATATTTTACTCCCTTGAGGCCTAAACAAGCACATACCAGAAAGGCAGGCTTAGCTCTGCCAAGTTTCAGCCTGAGGTTCCTACTTGTCAGCGACCACAGCGTGCACACAGTTCCTCACCTCACATTTTCGATCTCCCTCGGAGACGTTGAGGTTGCTTACGTTCTGCTCGATGGTTTTGTAGGAGTGCTTCTTCTTTGGCTTTGGAGCCTTTTTGATTGTTCCCGCTTCAGCAGCACTTTCATCTAAAGGAAGGAATGAGACTGTGCACTGCAAGGATTGCTTTGGAGCATGTAATTGAACTTATTAATTCAAGATCTTCAAATCGCTAAAGAGTGATCATAATTTAAACATGTGCCTTTCTCTCAAAGCAACAGGCACATCTAAGCCGCAGCTTAGAGAAACCACACTACTAGATTAAGTCTCTAGCTCCTAATACAAGTCACTTTCCAAAGACCCCCAATTCAGAAGATTCCTAGTTGGTGATGTTTACTCAGTCTTGCCTAAATAAAATCTAAAAGCTTTTATAAGGTCCTTCTCTTTTCTGAAGTTAAACTCTAGTGTTTGAGTATCTTCTCATATACAATGCTGAAATGTCCATGTCTTTAACAGAACGAGAAAATTGATTTCCTGTGACTTCATTCCAGTATATTACTCAAATAACTACCTGCCACACCCTATAAAAAGCCCCTTAAATCCAGATCCCAACCCACGTACCTGCACCAAGGCTCTCGACTTCTTCCGGAGACGGCACATCTTTGCCCAGTCCCCCAAGGACTCTGAATACATCAGTGTGGACGGCGTCTACACGCACAGCATAGATCTTGGTGCTGGCATCCAGAGTGCCAGCAGCCACCTAGACAAACAAGCAGAGCTGTACTCATGGTATGCATAAAAAGGAACTTCTGAACAGGCAAAATACAGCAAGCTTCATGAAATATTTACTTGCCCTCAAGTAAAAAGTGACAAAGATTCCCCTAAGAATGATAGAGAATAAACAGAACACAACAGAAAGATATCTTCTCTACATTTCATCAGTTTAGGAAAGAAAACAAAGTAGCTAATAAAATGTGTTAAACAAGAAAGGCTCTCATGTATTTGTAGAATTCAATTATTGTGCTATGCTAAGTATTAGAAATAATTCTCATTATTAATTCAGATGCAAGAAAAAGTGGACATCCTTCTTACTTTAAAGTTGGTCGGTTCAGTGTCTTTCTGTTTAAGAATCTCTGACATAAAATCAATCAAGTGCAAGCCAAATGCATTCTTCGTAGTGATTTTCTGAAAACAGAAAATTGCAGGAAGGTTACTATTGCTTAGGCTCATGTAAATAATGCTACCTTGACAGGAAGCTAAGTTTTTATACGTGAATACCCCACATCTCGCCACAGATATCACCTCCCACAAACACCTGGTGACACAGCTACATCCACATGTGTACCTCCTCATTCTCAAGGCCTGGAGAGTGAAAGCACACAGTCCCTGAGTGTTCACTGTGTGCAGGCCTTGTTCTAAGCACTGCACACAAAGGGACTCAGTCACCCTCAGAACAACTCCATGAGGCAGGTACTATTCTCATTCTCATTCTACAGAGGCCACAGCTTGTAAGTGGCAGAGACAGGATTCCACCTCAGGCTAGGTCTAGAACTCACAATTAGCTCCACAATCTCCTATCCATCTACTATCTAGCTCCTGAACTCACATTATTAACCCCTAAGCCATGCTGCCTCTCTGGATACACTGCAGGTGGCAGGCAACCTCTCAGAAGAAGCACCAAAAGTCTATAAGAAACAGTAAAACCATACTGAAAAACATGAGCATTAAGAAGAGTCGCTGGAGGGCCAGCCCCAGAGGCCTAGTGGTTAAGTTCAGGGAGCTCTGCTTCAGTAGCCCAGGTTCGGTTCCCGGGCACAGACCTACACCACTCATCTGTCAGTGGCCATGCTGTGGCAGCTCACATACAAAAGAGGAAGACTGGCAACAGATGTTAGCTCAGGGCAAATCTTCCTCAGCCAAAAACAAAAGAAGAGTCGCTGGAGAATAAAAGTACACAATTATCATTGATCATGCATTCTCTACAGAATAAGAAAGACTAGTTTCCCCTGTGATCAAGTTGCAAAATCTTCACTGATAAACCAGCAGACACTCACATTTTCAGTGGATAGTTTGATACAGGTGGAGTAATGCTCTGCAATCTGTGTATTTGTAAACTTAGGAATCGTAGCTGAAACATCAATATTCCTAAATAAAAAACAAAAACAAAACACTCTGGCAAGGATCCACGACACTAACTTGTCAAAATCCAGACCCAGAACCGGTGAGGTATTGTGGAGACGCCAGACCCACATCAAGGTGGCCACCCCAAGGACGCAGCCCAGAATACACTCACCTGCTGGAGGGGGAGGCTAGGAAATGAGGCGAGTCGGCATTTAACTGCAGGTCAGTGACCCTGGAGCGCCTCCGCTGCAGTCGCTCCTTTTCATCGTCATTCTGAGGAAAGTCTTTAAGGACTGGGGTATCAGGAATACTGAGAGAGGCTTTCCTGGGCAAGGGCATCGAGAACACTCGTTCTGAAGGTAAGGAGGCACTCTGGGGGTCTCCACGTGTATCTGAAGAAGAGTTACTCATTGTTCCTGACAGTGATGGAACAAAACACTTGCTCAAGAAACCTTCAACAACATTTCCCACATGTAAAGGGGGGCTTAGGGCCTGTCACAGGGGTGGAAGTTCACTGCACATTTCCCCCCAAGATCCTTTCCAACTCCAATATTCTGTGGCTAGAACCTCTACAGTCTGGGTTTCTTGAGGAGTGATGGGTTTCTGATGCTTCCTTGTTGATCTGAGACAAATATCCACTATGCAGCTATTGTGAATCTAAAGCACTAAATGGGATAGAAAGGTGGGTAAGAAAAAGTCACTGCCTCTGATAAGCTCACAAACTAACAGAACAACAGACGCATATAACCGTAATGCCAGGCAAGGGAGAGAGAAGATGCTGAGATAAGAGTGAGGTATGGGCTATCAAGTCAGACAGGCTAGGTTCTAATCCCAGCAGGGAGACACAGAATAAGCAACACAAATAGGAAAATAAATAGAATGTTCCAAAGAATCACTCACAGATTACTTGCTAACTGCAAAGGGAAAAATGTCTTCTACAACGAAAGATCTAGCAGTCACCATGTTAACCAAGCAATCAAACATAGCTTCTCTAAAAATGAGACTTGAAACTTACTCATCTCCTGATGGGACAAAATATAAAATTCATAGCATCACCCATAAAATACTTTTGCCAAAGATGTTTAACCTAAGACTTTAGATCTAACTTCCAGTTTATAAGAAATACAAGGGCTAGAGGGACAAGTTAAATGATATCACAAGGAAACTTTCAGACAAATTCAGAATGTGGGACAGTTTACAAGACAACCGGCTTAGTCTCTTAAACAAATCAACATCAAAAAAAAAGTAGGTGGGGCCGGCCTGGTAGCGCAGCAGTCAAGGGCGCGTTCCATGCGCCCGGGGTTTGCAGGTTCAGATCCCGGGCGCGCACCGACGCACCACTTGTCAAGCCATGCTGTGGTGGCGTGCCATATAAAGTAGAGGAAGATGGGCACAGATGTTAGCCCAGGGCCGATCTTCCTCAGCAAAAAAGAGGAGGATTGGCATCAGAAGTTAGCTCAGGGCTGATCGTCCTCACACACACACATACAAAAAAAGTAGAACTCTTCTCGAAACGAAACCAGAGAGTCATACAAACTAAAAACAATATCTGAACTTTCAGCCAATCCTTGGTCAAACAAAAATCAGCTATAGACAACATTTAGGGGATAAACAGGGAAATGTGGAATATAGTCTGGATAACAGATAACATTAGGGAATTGATTTTTATTTCCCTAGGTGTGATAACGGTATTATGGTATGTAGAAGAATATTCTTACTTCTGGGAGACCCATGAGAAACAACTTAGGGGTAACGTGACATGAAGTGTGCAACTTGTTACCGAATCAGCCAAAGATGTGTGTGTGTGAGGGAGGATAAAGAAAACATGGCAAAATGTTAACAAGAGTTGGATCTAGGTAGTGAGTATAAAGCTGTTTACTGTCTTAGTCTTTCAGTGTCCCAGCGTGTTTGAACCTTTTCATAAGAAGTAGTTAGAAAACAGATGGCATGTTAGGGGAGATAAAGCACAGCATGGGAGGGGAAAGAGGAGGACGGGGGAGTGGAGGTGGAAGGCTATTTTAAATACAGTGGTCAGGAAAGGCTTCACCAAGAAAGGAACATCAGAATCCAGACCGTGCAGATTTTTGGGGGAAGCTACATCGACGCAGAGGGAAGAGCAAGTACGGAGGTGGGAACGTGCCTGGCACGTCAAGGGGGCCAGTGTGGCCAAGTGGAGTGAGACAGGCTCTCCAGGGCCTGCTGCAGCAGGAGCACCAACTAGTCAGAGCAAGGGAGGACAACTGGGAGAGGCACAGGAGCCCAACTTCCGGGCCACCGTAAAGACTTTGGCTTTCACGTGGAGCAAGAAAGGAAGTGATAGGACGGTGGTGAGAAAAGAAATAAAGTGATCTAACCTATGCTTCAAGAAGATCCCTATGGCTGCTACGCTGAAAATAGACTGAAAAGGGAGCAAGAATTGACAAGCAGGAAGATCAACTAAGAGGTGACTACCAATAACCAGGACAGGAGACGAGGGCGGCTCAGACCAGAAAGGTAGCTGTGGAGGTGATAAGACGTGGTCAGACGCTGGGTATGGTCTCAAGACACAGCCAACAAGATTTCCTGATGGATTAAATGCAGGGCATAGGAGAAAAGAGAAGAATCAGGATAACTCCAAAGTCACCCTGAACAGCTGACGAAATGGAGCTGCCGTGACCTGACAGAGGAAGACCACAGGAGCAGCTTGTTTGTGGGGAAAGGAGGCAAGATCAGGGCTCAGTTTGGGACACGCCAGGCTTGAGATGCTCACTAGTCATCCAACTAGGGTAGGGTAGACAGTTGGATATTTAAGCCTAGAGTTTAGGGAAAAGTTCTGGGCTGGATATATAAATTTGGATATCATAAGCATCCAGAGAGTATTCAAAGCCCTAAGGCTAGATGAGAACACCAAATAAATGAGTGTAGATAGGGAAGAGCAGAAGGCTGAGATCTAGAATACCTCAAAAGTTTAAAGAGAAGGAACAAAGAACCAGCAAAAGAGATGGGGAATGTGAACTAGTGAGGTAGAGAGAAAACCTGGAGAATGTGGTGTTCTAAAAGCCAGGTGAAGAGAATATTTCAGGGGAGGAAGGAGTGATGAACAAAATATTTGCTCAAGAAACCTCACCAGCACATTTCCCGTATCTAAAGAGGGGCTTGGGGCCTGTCACAGGACTGGAAGTTCACTGCACATTTCCCATCAAGACATTTTCCAACTCTAATATTCTATGGCTAGAACCTCTATAGTTTGGGTGCCTTGGGGGGCTGATGGGTTTCTGACAATTCACTGCCAAATTAATGAGGTCTGAAATGAGGTCAAATTAGATGAGGCCTGAGAACTGATGATTGGTTTAGCAACCTGGAAGTTACCGGTGATCTCGACAAGAGCAGTTTTCCTAGAATAGCAGGGGGAGGAGGAGAAAGTCAAACAGGCACCTATTTAAGACAGATGGGAGAAGAAAAATTGGAGACAGCAAGTGGAGACAAGGTTTTCAAGGACTTATGCTGTAAAAGGAGAGAAATGGGAGGGAGGCAGTTGAAAGGGAAGTGAGGTCAAGAAAGTAATTTTAAGATGGAAAAAACCCCAGCTTGGTAGAAAGAATGAAGCAAAGAGATTATATTCGTTTCCTATCACTGCTATACAACTTACCACAAACTTAGTGGTTTGAAACAACACAAATGTATTCTCTTGCAGTTCTGGAGTCAGAAGTCTAAAATCAAGATGTCAGCAGAGTTGCATTCTTTCTGGAGGCTTTAGGGAAGAATCTGTGTCCTTGCCTTTTTCAGCTTCTAGAGGCTGCCTACATTGCTTGGCTTGTGGTCCCTTCCTCCCATCACCTCACCCTCTGGCTTCTGTCATCACAGCTCCTTCGCTGACTCTGACCCTCCTTCCTCTCTCTTATACGGACCATTGTGATTATATTGAGCCCATCCAGATAATCCAGGATAACCTCCTCATCTCAAGATCCTTAACTTAATCATATCTGCAAAGTCCCTTTTACCATGTAAGATAACACATTCACTGGTTCTGGACATCTTTGGGGAACCAATACTCACAGAGATCATGCAGAAGAAAGGGGAAAAGTTGCTAAACCATGTACTCAAGCAGGTAAAGGGGTTGCCTTTGCTGAGAGCACAGACAGCCCATCCATAGCAACAGGAAGGAAGGCAGAGAACACAGGCACAGATGCAGAGAGGGGAGGGGGTGCAATCGCAGACTTGTGGATGTTCTCTTTTGATTGCTTTTATCTTCTTAGTAAAATAGGAGGTGAATAAAAACCAAAAACTCAGCAGCTAAGGGTGAGGGCTAGGGACGAGGTACTGGAGATTTTAGGAGAGAAAGGAGATTAGGGAACAGTCATCTAGGAGAAGGAGAGGGGAAGAACCAGGGAATACAGTATGACTGCTGGGCAGCTCTAGGGCCCCTTGAAACTATCAGTGTGCAGTGGCTGGGGAAGAGCCGGAATTAACCAGGGTTATGATTTTGTCAAGCAAGTGTAAAGAAGCAAGACGGCAAGGAGTTACAGGTGTATGAAAGGGAGCGATTATGTTGATTGACCACGGCATGTAAGCCAAGTAAGGAGGGGAACGAGGACATGAGAGGTGAGGGACAGTGAAAAGCAGAACATAGGTCTGCCGGGTCAAAAGACTGTTGGCGTCGGGGAACAAGGGGGAGGGAGGTGGAAAGATATGAGTGGAAGTGGGGTGCTTAAGATTGAGATAGAGTGGTTGCAGCTGTTGATAATGACGGTAGTCAGTGGCTATGGCCTATTATGGTAGGGCAAGAAACAAGATCATTGGAAGAAAGAGATGAAGGAACTGAGAGACCTTGAGGGAGTTTCCAGATTTAAGAATCAGAAGGCTTGGCTTCAAACCCCAGCTCCATCACTAACCAACTGGAGAAATTTCAAGCAAGTAAATGCTCCAAGCACCTGCTTCTTCATCCTCCAAATGAGAATAAGAATGTTCATCTCAGCTGGTTCAGAACTGGTGATATAAAAAAAGCACAATATAGGGGGCCAGCCCAGTGGCGCAAGCGGTTAAGTGCGCGCTCTCCGCTGCAGCGGCCCAGGGTTCGCTGGTTTGGACCCCGGGCACGCACTGACACACTGCTTGTCGAGCCATGCTGTGGCAGCGTCTCATATAAAGTAGAGGAAGATGGGCACGGATGTTAGCTCAGAGCCAATCTTCCTCAGAAAAAAGAGGAGGATTGGCATCAGATGTTAGCTCAGGGCTGATCTTCCTCACAAAAAAAAAAAGTACAATATAACATTTTATAGGAACACACTAAAAACAGTGATACACAATAAATACTAAATGATTGCCCATGTGAGGGGAAAGGGAAAAGGAGTGGTGAATAGAGACAAAAGAGAATAAAAAAAATACAAGGAGAACTTTACATTTTCCCCGAATAGCTTCCCACCAGCTGAAGTGTATGATTAACATGACTCTCAGCTGAGGTCAAAACAAACAAAAGAAAAAGTAAAAACGGAAGGAGGCAAGAGGCATTTTTAGAGACTGAACCAAAAAGGCTTGTGACTATTCGGTGTGGGCACTGCAAGGTAAGGAAGGGAGCTGGACCTTGGCAGAAGAGACCTTAATAGAAATAGGAAGCACTGAGGGAGGAACTTGTCTAGGAGGGAGACTCAAGATGGGAATTAGACACACGCTTCAATTCTTGGAATATTCTTTGATTTCCCTCGTTGCCTTTAATATCATGCACCTGTTCATTCAACAGATGGTTACTGAGCTCAAAAACACTTTCTGCAACCACTTCCTCACCTCCGGTCTGGCTCCCATCCCCCAACTTAATGAAAACCATCTTATCACAGTCACCTGCAACTTCCAGGTCGCTCAATCCAACGGTCACTTTTCAGGTCTCATCTCTCTTGAGAGTCAACAGTATCTGAAACAGCTGACAACCTCCTGCTTCGTGAAACAATCTTGGCCTCTATGATACCACTTTCTTCTGAGTTTTTCCAGCTCTTCCTTCCCTATCCAGCTTCTAAATGTTGGCCCTGGGTGCTTTCTCTACAGGGTCTTCCTAGTCATCTCACGGTCATCTCACGGTTTTACGATCTACATGATGATGATGATGTCCAAACTTATTTCTCAATCCATGGGCCACTTTCCTGACCCATATCACTCCCCTAAGTGTCAAACTCTTATCCAAGTGTTTATTTACTCCTTCACCTGACTGTCTCTCGGGTAAGTCATTTACTATGTCCAAAACGTAACTCTAAATTCCCAAACCTCTTACCAAGACCTACAAAGTCCCTGGCTACCTGAGTGACCTCACTATTTAGCCAGTGTTCCCGTCCTAACCCAAGCCAGGCTTTCCTGCTTGCCCTTTGCACTGCCTCCTTCTGCCTGGAACACGTTCCCCAGTCTCTGCTTTAAGATCTTCCCTGAGGGCCGGCTCCGTGGCTTGGCGGTTGGGTGCGCGCGCTTTGATGCTGGCGGCCCGGGTTCGGATCCCGGGAGCGCCCCGAGGCACCACTTCTCCGGCCAACGTGAGGCCGAGTCCCACGTGCAGCAACTGGAAGGATGTGAACCTGTGACATACAACTATCTACTGGGGCTTTGGGGGGAAAAAACTGAATAAATAAAATCTTTAAAAAAAAAAAAAAAAAAAAAA